GAGAGAGAGAGAGAGAGAGAGAGAGAGAGAGAGGATGAGAAACAATCCAGCCAGGATTATTGCTACATGGGGATGTACACCGCAGAGAGCATCACCCCCGTCCAGCATCTCAGAGTGCATGTGAGCAAAGCAATAAACCCCCCCCCCCCAAAAAAAAAAGACATGATGTCGCCGCGTGCAGCCCGGTGAATAGAACAGCAATAAAGACAGTACACCAGGGCCGTAGTCTCAATCTCTACTATGATACTATGTCCCCCTTCGATTCTTGGCACAACTTTCTCACATGCCTTCTCACTTTTCCTCTGTTTCTTGAACTTTCTTCCCGGTTTGTAAAAGTTCAGAAAAAAACAAACAAACACTTAATTAATATTTCCCCTGTCTTGGATTGTCAATTGCGGAGAGTTCTATCTTACATGCCTTGTTATTTTTCTTCTGCTCCAGGGCTCCCCCATTTCCTGAACGACTCGCGCAATAAATATTTATTATTTTGCCTTATTTTCCATATATTTTCCCAGATGCAACTGGCAGGAAATCACCTTTCAATCATTCCTTGCAAAACCTCTCATTAGGCCATTGATTCACAGTATCAGGACTTTTTTTGCTGTTTTTTCGCTGTTTTCTGGACGTAATTGTGGTCAGATGCATCCGTGTCCGGTCATAATTGCAATACAGATACGTGTACAGAAGTCCTCGTAGAGTGCGTGAGCATGCTTTTACTCCCAGCGACTAAGTTGGAAACAGAGAAAGACATCTAAACTCACCTTTCAATCATTCCTTGCAAAACCTCTGATTAGGGCATTGATTCACAGTATCAGGACTTTTTTTGCTCTTTTTTCGCTGTTTTCTGGACGTAATGCGGTCAGATGCATCCGTGTCCGGTCGTAATTGCAATACAGATACGTGTACAGAAGTCCTCGTAGAGTGTATGAGCATGCTTTTACCCCCAATGACTAAGTTGGAAACAGAGAAAGACACCTAAACCCAACCGCCCTCCTCCGCTTACGTTCATTCTCGCCCAGCGTAAAATCCTGCCACTGACCCGAAAAACCTTATAGGCTTATTCGGAATTTGACAATTTGTGATTAAGTTTGGAATTTCAGAAATTATTGTTAATTTATTATGTTTGGACCTGTGTTACCAACCGGGCCGCCTAGGTCACCATCCATGATTGCCCGGGCGGCCCGGCCGGCAAGAGCAAGGGAAGGTACCTGTAATAAATAAATAAATAAAGTTTAATGAAAAATAATCTTGTGCAGAAATTTAAACTGAACAACGTTTCATCACAGTCGCATCAGAAATAAAAAGTGAAATTAAAAAATATATGTTGTGTATATCGTCAAACAGAACTGCCTGGTAAGCCGGAGGCAGAGAGGGAGAAAAGGACAACAAACGAGGGGCTGTGACAAACTGTTTCGTCGCAGTTTCACCATTTACACTGTAAGTGATAATCCACCTTAACCCCGGTTGTGGGTAAGCATTAACGACTGTATCATGGTAACCAGCCGGACGTCTGGACTGGCATCCAGACGGTCTGGAAAATTTTGTAGGGGTCCTCGATGTACCAGCCCGCAATTGCATCCAGAAATCAGTTGAAAAAAGGACCAGTGCGAGTACGCCCTAAGCCCCTTATTCTCTTTGAGTATCTGTCGTTGAGATTCACCTTGTCACATGTGGAAGTACGCTTTCTTGGTGGTTTAGCCTTTCGCTCCTCCCATCCATTACCCACACGCATGCTTCCATTCCTAAAATGCAATACCCCGCTTTCCACATCAGTTGACCTTAGGGTTTAGGCTTTAAGGTCTAGAATGTTTAAGGTTTAGGGTTTAGCGTTTTACGGTCTTAGGATTTAGGGTTTAAGGTTTAAGGTTTAAGTTTAGTCGCCTCATCGTATACCAAGTACCCTCTCTTGGTGTTTAGCCTTTCCCTCCTCCCTCATTCCTTACCCATAGACATGCTTCCAAAAATGAAATGCCCCAGTTACATGGAAAACACACTGGATTAAATCTCTCTTCTTGCACAATCAGTACACCTTAGGGTTTTAGGCTTTAAGGTTTAAGGTTTAGGGGTTTAGCGTTTAGGGTTTAAGGTTTAAACCACCAGTACCTTTCCCAGCTAATTTTTTCAGAGGTGCGACTGGTAACGCACTGGCCTGAAACGGAAGGGCGGCCGCCGATAGATCGAATCGGCGGCCTCTCTCCATTTTCGGGTCGGTGCGCAGTGCCCGCGGCCGACATGTGGAAAAAGTTCTGGTGGTTTAAGGTTTAATATTTAAGGTTTGTGTTTAGGATTCAGGGTTACAGCAAGTTTCCGCCAAACACTGCTTGTCGCGAAGATCGGTTATCGCTTCTTCTTCCTTTCCATGCCATTGGCAGGACCAATTTTGCCCAGTCAAGAAGAATTAGCCTCTGTACGGTTTGTATCTTTCCAATTTGAATTTTGAACCTTCACTCACCACCTCCCTTCCCATAACATAAGATACCACATATTCCTTGCCACATAAATTGGTATCACAGTATCACAGTACGACTCTGTGTGAATCTGGAGTGGGGATCATTTGATGGTTAAGAAGGGGCTCATCCATACTCCTTGCATGGACTAACATGATAGTACCATCCTAAACATAACCTCTCGAGTAACTCTCGAGTAAAAAAAATGGATGGTTAGGGCTTTTGTAAATTTTTAATAGAAGTCTGAGCATACATGCACTGTGATACTTGTATTCCTTGGTCAGATATTCTTTCTTTCTGGCTCCTATTCAATCTGCAGGGTCTCCGTTGAAGAGACTATGGAGAGTAAGAGTAAATAGCAAGAAAGGATTGCAGGCTGCTGAGGAGGAATGACACTGACTAATCACTGTGATCACCAGCTTTGGAGAAATCACCAGTAAGGGAACAAGAGATGAAATGAAGAAATGTTTGGGAGGGGAGCCATTGGGGGGTAGATGACTGGGGGAGATTGTGAGTGGGGTAGAGGGGGTGGCATGCGGAACGGGAAAGCAAGGAGTGCGGGAAAGGGGAGAGGGGAGAGGGGATAATAGGTTGGGTGAAGGGTGGAGACGGCGTTGGAGTTATCAGGGAGTGAGGTAAGTGAGAGAGAGGCAAAGGGTGATCCGCAAGTGGGAGTTTCCATGAAGTAGAAAGACGAGCGGAAAGCTGTTCACCAATATATATTATATATGTAATATGTATTATATGTCGTTCAAATCATACTTGCAACCACACAAGCCGCACGGCCGTACGGTGCTGTGTGCCGCGCCAGAAATAATCTCTGTTTTTTTTTTTTTTTTTGGCTGCTTCGTAGATATAGAAGAGTCTACTGCCTAAGGAACAGATCCTGTTCAAGTACCCTCATACAAATACTACAAATACTACAAATACTACAAATACTACAAATCTTTCTTCTTGTCTCACTGGAAATAGCCTCAAAATTCAAATAGGTATTTGGGGCATCAGTCTTGATTGTTAAGTGGTGAAATTGCTCTTCCAACTTTTTTTTCCGAAGGGGGCGCAGGTGAGCACTGATCCAGGCCTGCCACCCCATTTTTTTTCCTGGGTGGCTATTTCCCCCATGCGCCGCACCAGAACCGTGCGGCTTGGGCGCCGCACGTGCGGAATTGCCAGCACGGCGTGCGCTTGCAAGTACGATTCAAATTGATTCAATTCCAAAACTCGATTCGTTGAAATTCATTCAATTCCAAAAATCAGTTCATGGCTTTGGGATCAGGCTGCCATTCCACACAATGGGATCAGGCGCTGCTTAGCGATGTGCAGCGAGATGCAGAGGAGGGGGATGCTGAGCACAGGGGAGACCATACGCACCTGAAACATATCGTCCTTCACTGCGACACGGCGCTTCAGGACTTCAGCATTCGCGACAACTATTGTGTTTGGCCAGGTTCCATCCGTCTGAGTGTCATCGGTAGTTTCAAAACAGAACAAAAATCACAATACAAAATCATGTAGTCATGTAATCATATCCATACTAAACACAACTCCAAAGATGCTAAAACACTGATGAACTGGCATGAAATTCATGAATGATGACTCATGATTTTTACTTTTTCAAGAAAAAGAAAACACCCACGATATTGATGATTGTTCGTTGGGAAATTACAACTTGAAATAAAGGAACTGTGACAACCTTTACTAATCAGTGATTACTTGCTATACTTGCAAAGCAATTCCAAAAAGTTTTGTAAATTCTGTTTGGATTTTCTTTCAACCGCATTTGAGCAAACGGATGACTTGGTAGTCCAGCCTAGAATGAGTTGTGTGAATTGAGTCAGAGGAAGTGTAGTATTGGTAATGAATATGGGAATGCTGTGGGCGGAGAGAGAGAGAGAGAGAGAGAGAGAGAGAGAGAGAGAGAGAGAGAGAGAGAGAGAGAGAGAGAGAGAGAGAGATGGGTGGACAGAGACAGAGACAGAATGAATGATGAGATTACCTGCTCTGACAAATATACTCTCTGCTTCGTATGGCGAGGAGTTGAATCCAGCACTGGACCCCATCTGCAAACATCAACACGAGAAGGCGCTCATTGTTTATTCACATCAAAAGAGCAGTCATGGCTGTCAGTCTAGAACAGGGGATAATAATCTTTTATTTACACCTTCGGCAGAGCATGGAAGCAAAGGGATCTCAATCCAAGGTGATTTTTTTGACAGGCTTTAGCATCAATTCCAAAAACACCACAAAACAGTATGACAACGGAAAGCGGGAAGGAGAGAGGGAGACAAAGGGAGGGGAAGGGAAGTTGGGGGAGATCAGAGGAAGGGAGATTAGGGGAGATGGAGGACGGAAGGAAGGAAGAGAGGCAAGGAAGAAATGATGAACAGAGGGAGGGAGGGAGGGAGGGAGGGAGGGAGGGAGAGAGGCAACGAAAGAAGAAATGATGAATGGAGGGAGGGAGGAGGCAGATGAAGGGTGGGAGGGAAGAAGAGAGGCAAGGAAAGAAGAAATGATGAATCAGTGTTGTCAGCCTGACGGTCAGCACCCCCTAATTGGTTGGGGGTCGACCCCCCAACCGGTCAACCTGTCGGCACCTGCCAGTCGGGGGCTGGTCGGCACCCCGGAAAAAAAAAAAAAAGTAAAGAAAACCAAGCAAGACCCCTCTCTCCCCCCCTTATCCCTTCCATAACCCCCCTAACACCCCCCCAACACCCCCATAAACCCCCTAACACCCTTTTAGCCCTGCCCCAACCTGTCTCTTATACACATCTAGATGTGTATAAGAGACAGAATGAAAACAATGAACTGCAAAATCTCAAAGATTGATTATCCAGCCTCTTTGCTGCTCTTCAGAATGTCAGAAGCTGTTTTTGATCTGTCATTGGCCTTTTCTTTTTTTGTACCATCCCCCCAAAAGTTGCAAGAAGTCATTTCATAATCAGCTAAAATTTTGGCTAACTCGTAAAAAAAAAAAAAAAAAAAAAAAAAAAAAAAAAAAAAAAAAAAAAAAAAAAAAAAAAAAAAAAGTTCTGGGAACTGCATAGAATATGATAGCACCACATTTGGTTATTATGACGATTGAAATTCGACAGCATATATATTATATGTACTGTAAATCAGCTAAAGCTGAAATTTCAGAGGACAGGCGAGTTCAGCAAGCAGAAGAGAGAGAGAACAAATAAGCCACACTGGAGAAAGCTTGGGGTGTTGGAAAGAACTACTAAAGACTAAAGAGTGCTGAGAAAAAAGAAAAAAAAAAAACAGTTTAAAACACTAAGCAGAGAAGTTGACTTCAGTCGTGCGAGTCCTTTGCGACATCTGTTATAATTGGAACAAAACAATGAAGATTAGCTTAGCCCCTTCGCAAGCATAATCGAGGAAAAAGAAAACAAACAATGCCATGCCTGCCATGGGCCCATACTACCATAGAGTCATAGACTCCATTGCAAGGAAATAAGCAATGAAAACAGCAGTAAACCAGATTGCGACATCTCAACAGAAGACCAGACATAATTCAGCCAAATGGAAAGCAAAAGCCCGTGCAGGTCCAGTCTCCGTAACCAACTCCTGGGCAGGTCCAGCCTCTGTAACCAACACATGTCGATAGTTTTGTCGGTCTGGCGCTGATCGATGCACAGCACGACGGAATCAAACCGGTGACCTCGGTCATAACAGCCGGATGCCTTTACCACTGTAACCGTGACCCAGTGTTCAAAAACTGAAAGCCATACCCGTCGTGACATTCAGCCCACCCCAGCATGGTTGCAGCAAGGACTTACTTGTCACCACTTGGCATCCGTGAGATCCTCTGCAGGCAGCAGCAGCATGCACGCAGACACCAACTCATGGGAAGGTCCAGCCTCTGTAACCAACTTGCCATCAGGTCCAGCCTCTGCAGCCAACTCGTCGGCAGGAACAACCTCCGTAACCAACTTGTGGGCTGGGCCTACCGGTTGGCAAATTAGGGCCCTTTCCTGAGGCCGGCCTTCACTTAGGGATGGCTTGTATTGTCCTGGCCCACCTTCACTTAGGGGATGGCAGGGCCTTTTTCTGCACAGCCGAAGGCTAAATTCCTTGCACCATAGACTACTCCACCAAAATCACAACCATCTTGTCATTTGAAAGGGCCTTTTTCACCCAATGTAGGCCTCAGGCCTTGTAACTAAGCAACGTGGGCCATGTAAAAGTAAAGCAGCCTGAAAAGGTATCTCGCCAGGGCTCAGAAACGTGAAAAGCAGGTCAAGAGTCCAAGTTCTTTACCAACGGGCACATCCTGAAGCAAAGGGCATTGTCAAAAGACTTACCTGTTCGCCAGCAGTTGTGTAGGTCATGAATAAGGTGTGTCTGTACGAGTAGCCATTGTGCCTGTTCGGNGGGAGGGAGGGAGAAGAGGGACGGGAGGGAGGAAGAGAAGCAAGGAAACAAGAAACGATGAATGGAGTGAGGGAGTGAGAGAGGACGATAGGCAAGAAACAAGAAAGAAACGACGAATGGACGGAGGAAGGAAGAGAGGAAGAGAGGCAAGGAACCAAGAAACGATGAATTGCGGAAGGAAGGGAGGAAGGGAGAAACAACAAGGACGTAGAGATTCTGCCCTTATGCAGCATACAAATCAGGATCCGATTGCATGCAAGAAGACCAGGATTAATCATGACAGCGGATCCACTATCCACTATTCTTCTACTCTGTTACATGCAAGCATTGGGACGGCCACTACGGTGGTATTAACAGAATGCATTAGTGCTATGTAACTCACGTAATCCGAGAAGATGTTTCGGGAGTCTGACGAGAGACTGTTTCGTCAGACATTCGCTAACTCATCAGGATGATGAACCTCAACAGTCTTGATTCCATTAATCCACAGCTTCTTAGACGTGTGAACCCCTCATCTGGAAGAAGGACCTCTAGGTATGTATACTGCACACTCAGATACAGCTATGCATTGCCATCATATGTATCTATCCAGAACCATGTCCTCATGCGTCGACATCCTTAGTAATACAGAACGCTTTGTGCTGGAATGCCGACACACCTTGACGGATAAGACCCCTACAACATGTTCAGACATTCTAGCCTTCTAGAGCTTGGTTATGTTGCCATACTCCTATGGAACGATCCTCCTACCACCTTCCCTCCTGCCCACTGGCGCACCCCGCCCCCCCCCCCCCCCCCCCCCCCTGACCAAACGAAACAGCCAACCACCAAGCATTTCCATAGGCAAGCATGCATTCATAGATGCACACACGCATACACACACGAACAGCACACACATGTATGTGTACATTCATGCATACATGGATGTTTGTGTGGGTGCTAGAGTGTATGTCCACAACATGTGTTTGCATCCAACGCATGTGCATGCATATATATTATATTGTCACATGTCAGTGAGCTAAAAGAGCACACTTTGCAAAAGAAAACGATAAAAATACACAAAACAAACATGAAGAGCACACTGAAACCATTCTTTTTTATAATTCGTGTTTTAGCTCCCCTTGACTGTGCCTGTCACGTACAAGGCTCGCCACGTTGATGTAGTTGAGCGCGAGCTGCCCGCATCCCCGTGTGCCATAACGGCCCATTTGTACGTTGTGAGAAAGGGGTAGGTAAAGGGGGAGGGACACAGACGGGAGAGAGTGGGAAGACAAGGCAACAGAAGACAAAGGGAAAGTAAGGAGTGTGAAATGAAGATGAAAGCATAGGAAAGGATATGAAAAGGCTCAAGAATCAGTCTGTCCTTGACGACAGAGAGGACATACATTATAAGGATGAGGTGGATGAAGACATGGAAAATCTAGGTGAGTATTATCAGCATTCAATTGCCACGGCGGCTGGCATTGAACATGCCCACCACACACTCCCGACAAATGGCATGTCGATTGCATGCCAACATGAAGGAAGAACAAAAAGGATATGTTATGAAGAAAAATAAATTAAACAAGATTTGCCTGAGCATTACATCCAAATTTCTTACCAAATTTTAAATATTAATAAAATACGGAGAACAAATACTAATAATAAAAATAACAAAAAAGTAAAAGAGAATTAAATTTAGTGAGTGTGCGAGCACGTTTTTGACACCTCCATCTTTGGCGATTTTTCATTTTTTTTTTTGGCGTAGCCAAATCCCCTGATACTTTACAGATGTGTACTTCACATAATAAAAAACCCACTAAAAAAGTTTCAAAAAATAATAAAATTGTTTAGACCCCTAACTAAAGTGAAAACAAAAAGTTAAAAAAAAAAAAAAACGTGGGCGAGCACGTTTTGACACCGCCATCTTTGGCGATTTTTAATTCTTATTTGGCTGAGCCAAATGACGTCAAAAATTATAGGCATGTACCGCACGTCATAGAGAACTCAAAAAAAAAAAAATCAGAAAAAAAATATATTTTTAGGCCCCGAAATAATTTTTGGCGGGGGCCGAACGCCTTCAGGTTCGGACCCCAAACGGGACCCCAAATGCCCGTACGTACGGAGGTCAGCCCGGGGACCTCCGTACGTACAGGCCAGTGACCCTGTATATAGTATTCTTTTTTGAAACTTTTTTAGTGGGTTTTTTATTATGTGAAGTACACATCTGTAAGGTTTCAGGGGATTTGGCTACCCAAAAAAAAAAAAAATGAAAAATCGCCAAAGATGGAGGTGTCAAAAACGTGCTCGCGCACTCACTAAATTTAATTCTCTTTTTCTTTTTTGTTATTTTTATTATTAGTATTTGTTCTCCGTATTTTATTCATATTTAAAATTTGGTAAGAAAGTTGGATGTAATGCTCAGGCAAATCTTGTTTAATTTTTTTTTCTTCATAACATATCCATTGTCACAAGAGTATCAGAGCGCAAATGCGAACAAAAAGGAAAAAAGAAAGAAAAACAAGAAAAAATGAATTCAGTTTTTTATCTTCTTCCTTATAACTCCCCCTGTTCAGAACCTCTTGCGTACAAGGCCGCCCACGTGGATGTAGGTTGAGCGGCGGCTGCCCCCACCCCCGTGTGTCATATCGACCCACTTGCACACAGCCAAAAGGCAAAGAGGCAAAGAAAAGAGGAAGGGAACAGC